AGGCGCCAGGGGGAGCCACGAGAAACGCCGGTCCGAGAGCGCGCGGCGATCCGGGCGCTAAGGCAGAGGAGGAGAGAGCGGAGAAGACCGCCAAACCGAGAGAGGGGCGGGCCTTCCTGTCTCCCACTTCCTCTCGAGCAGCCAAGTCCTACTGCGCATGTGTGGCCCTAGCAGCTGCTCGTTCCAGGTAGTTCGTCCCTCTCCTGGATTTTTTTGTGGGTTAGCGTTTGCACTGCAAGGCGTGATTTACCCATAATTGTTGGAAAACTTGAGAAAACTATGATTTGCATATTCTTTGATGAGTGGAATTTAAAATGTTACTAAGACCTGGCATGGTCGGTGCCCTCCTGGAATCCTGGAGAGAGCTAAGTGAGACAGGATTAGGCTTCAGAGGTCAGCTGGAGCTGCCATAGCAAGACCTGTGTCGAAGGGAGTAAAACACACATCAACAGACACTAAATATGTTGTGTGTGGTGTGTGTGTGGCTAAGGTTTAAGGGAGAAAAATAAGGGGAACCTGAACACAAATCCTGATTTTTTTTTTTTTAAGATTTATTTTGTATACAGTGTTCTGCTTGCACACCAGAAGAGGGCACCAGATCTCATTATTGATGGTTGTGAGCCACCATGTGGTTGCTGGGTATTGAACCCACGTTCTCTGGAAGAGCAGCCATCTCTCCAGTCTACAAATCCTGATTCTTATCAAAATTTTCAGCAAGCAAGTTTCTGTCAACTTCAGCCTTATGTAGGATTTGGGGGACAGGGTTTTCTGGAGCTTGAATTTACACATTCTAAGCAAAGCCACAGATGAACAACCCCAGCTCTAGTGTCCATATTTTTTTACCTTTTCGTAGGCCTTGACTGTAAAGGACTCAACACTGTAGCTCGGTGGTAGAAACTGCATTTTATTTTTTAACTTTTATGTGTATTGCTGTGGCCAGCGCAGCCTGGATAGTCAAGACTGGCGGGTGGTGCTCCCCCCCCCTCGCCAGAAAGAACACAAACATCCTTGTCAATTACAGACCACAAAGAAGTTCTCCTGGCGGTCAGGGGGAGTGAGGGCAGCTGGATCACAACAGTGTATGGGTGCATTTGCCTGCCTGTTAGGTCTGCACAGTGTGAGCGGTGGTAAGAAGTGGGCTTCGGATGCCCTGGGACTGGAGTTAGACACTGTTGTGAACCACTCTGTGGTTGCTGGGAATAGAAAGTGCTCTTATCTCCTGAGCCATCTCTCCAGCCCTGAAATACGTTCTAATATCTCCAAATACTTTGGATGTTCTGGGAACAGCATTAGCAGGCTTGAAACATTCCTGTTGTGAAGAGGCTCACAAGAGCTGGCTGATAAAAATGGAGAATTTAATAAAAGATACCACAAAAGCCTCAGCAGGAAACAGATGCAGAGACCGACAGCCAAACAGTAGGCTGAGCTCCAGGAATCCCTCAAAAGCAGGGGAGGGAGGACTGTGGGAGCTTCAGCCGACCTGGGCATAGAGGCTCACAGAGACAGCTCACAGCCAGGGAGCCTGCAGGGAACTGGGGCCGGCTTGGACTCTCACCTGCTTTGGGGACCATTTTACTCCTCTGGGTCACCTTGTCCAACTTTTTGGTTTTTCGAGATAGGGTTTCTCTATAGCCTTGGAGCCTGTCCTGGAACTAGCTCTTGTAGGTTGTCTTTGAACTCACAGAGATCCTCCTGTCTCTGCCTCCTGAGTGCTGGGATTAAGGGTATGTGGTGCCACCACCACCTGGCTCACCTTGTCCAACCTTAAGACCAGGGGAGGTGCCTAGCCTTTTTTGTTTGTTTGTTTGTTTGTTTTTGTTTTTTCAAGACAGGGTTTCCCTGTGTAACAGCTCTGGCTGTCCTTTAACTCACTTTTCCCCCCCACCACCCCTGCAGCTTGATATGCCATGTTTGGTTGATATCCGTGGGGGCCTGCCCTTTTCTAAAGGGAAATGGTGGAGAAGTGGATTGGGGTGGGGGTGATTGCTGCTGGGTTTAATACATGAGCCAAGGGGTAAAAAAGTCAAGTTCCCAGAGAAGGCGCTGCTGGGTAAGGAATAGCTTTGTTGTTTTTAACAATAATTAAGGTTGTATCTGGTGGGACACTTTATATGGGAATCGTGTTTGGACTCATAGTGAAAGACCCCCAGTGTGGGGAGACTCTCACTGTAGCCTCGGGATGACGCGAACCCCCCCCACCCCCTCGGCCCCCCCACCCCCCCACCCCCGCCGCCAGTAACTCACGAGAGACCGTCCTTGCTGCAATCACACGAGGATTTAATTGACAAGAACCAGTGCGCTGGGGCCGAGACTCATAACCCACGCAGGGGAAGAGTTCGACCCCGAGTAACTGGGAGAAAGGGGTTTTTAAGGGAAGAAACTATGGCCCAGTAATCCGAAGGGGGTAGGGAGGTCCAGTGGTGGTCACAAGGGGGCAACTCCCTGTTCCTCAAAGTTATTCTCAAGATTATAATCAGCTAGTTTCTGAAACACAGTATCCCAAAAATACCAATGATAATCACAAGGGGGAAACACCCTGTTTCTCAAGATTATTCTCAGGATTACAATCTAACTTTATCTTCACCTAGTTCCTGAAACACTGAAACGGCTAATCCTAGATTTCTGATTCTTCCCTCCCTGCTTAGATTTTTGGCTCCATTTTTTCCAGGTAGGGGGATCTGGATTTATCCAGGTCTTTCAATAGGGAATTGTGTTTGGATACATAGGGAGTCGTGTTTGGATACATAGGGAGTCATGTTTGGATTCATAGGAAATCGTGTTTGGATACATAGGAATCGTGTTTGTTTGGATTCATTGGGAAACACTTGCTATTTTGATGATGAGTGTTTTGTATTGTATCCCTGAGGCTGGCAGTAGGTACAAAAATTATGAGAATCTGGCCTGCTGATTACAGGGTAGAATTCTCTACAGTGTGCATGGATTCCAAAATAGAGGGTAGCCAGGGTTTCGTGTGTGTGTGTGTGTGTGTGCGCAGGTAGACCGAAGCATGCAGGCCTGTGCAAGCCAGAGGTGGACAATGGGTCTTCACTTTCCACCTTGAGGTTTTTATTTTTATGTGTAAGAGTGTTTTCTTGCATGTATATGTACCCTGTGTGCAGTGCTCCCAGAGACCAGAAGAGAACATTGGATTTTCTGGAGTTATAGACAGTTGCTAGCCACCTAGAGGTTCTGGGAATCAAACCCTGATCGTCTGGAAGAGGAGTAGTGATCTTAACCACCAGGCCACCTCTCAGTCCTCCACCTCATTTTTTGGAATAGGCTGTCATTGATCCTGGAGCTGACTGATGCATTCAGCTAGACTGACTTGCCTACAAGACCCAAGGATGCTTCTCACTCTGATTCCCAGTGCTGAGATTACAGGTGCACATCACTGTGTTCAGATCTGGATCCGTCAGAATAGCAATCTGGCTGGATCTGTTACCAAGTTCAGCAGAATCCTCCATACCTGAACCCAAATTAGCCTGTCATTGATTAGAAGCGGTCATCACAGTTAGCCATGGCTTTATGTGGGCCCAGGGTGCCGGAAAATGAGAAAATACTTCTCTTGGCAGGAGTGATATTCTGCAATTCCAGACATCAGGCAGGTGGGGGCAGCGTGAACAGGAGTTCAAAGCAGATCTAGGATACATAAGACCCTGTCTGTCTCAAAACAAAAACAAAAAAGGCAAAGTAATTTTGTTGGAAACGCTGAACTCACACAAATCCAAGTACTTTGCCCATAGGAGGTTAATCATTCACAACAAACCAACACTCACAAGCAGAAAGCTCACGTCCTCTGTGAGCTCCCTTGCTTCCTTTTTGAAGGGCGTTGGTAGCGGAAAGATAACAGGAAATAAGCTAGTTGGGGGATGAGCACTTCCAAATAGAGTTTGAGGCTGACCTGGGCTAGAAGAAACCCTTCCTCCAAAAAGCAACATCTGGGCATGGTGCATGCCTGTAATCTCAGAACCCAGGTGGCAGAGACAGGAGGTTTGCTGCAAGTAAAGGACCAAGTTGTCCTCCATACTGAATGTCAAGTACACTAGACATACACAGTAAGGCCATGGCTAAATGAGTAAAGAAAGTCAGAAGTTACTTCCTTTGGGATCAATTTACTGAGAGACAAATAACCATCCACACAGGAAGGAGAAAGGTGGGATGTGGCTGATAAATAACAGACATCCAAATTCTTCAAATGGTTCAAAGAGGGGCCTTGTTCTCCTAAAGGTCCATTTCAGGATCGTCGCCGAGAGGGTGGGGCATGAGAAGATGGAATACAGACTTCTCCTTCAGCGTCCCAAAGGATAGTGACTTATGCGGGAGTCCAGTCAGCTCAGGAATCACGGTGATGTTGGGAGATGAATAAACTTCATCTGGAGGCGCCCTTGCACTCTGGAGTCCCCAGAAACGGCTAATCTACTTCCTCGATGGTGGGGCCGGTGGCGGCTCTGCCCGGCGTGTACCCCGGCGCGCAGGTGGGCCCGGTGCACCCTCCCTGGTAGAGTTTGGTGATGATGGGGTTACACATGTTCTCCAGTTCTTTTCTCTTGTGATCGAGCTCCTCCTTCTCCGCTAGCTGGTTGGCTTCCAGCCAGGAAAGGACCTCGTTGCATTTATCCAGAATTTTCTTCTTATCGGACTCGCTTATCTTGTCCTTCAGACCCTCGTCACTCACGGCGCTCTTCATGTTAAAGGCGTAGGATTCTAGAGCGTTTTTGGCAGCAATTTTCTCCCTCTGGCCCTCATCCTCAGCTTTGTATTTCTCGGCCTCCTGCACCATGCGCTCAATCTCCTCCTTGCTCAGCCGGCCCTTGTCGTTGGTGATGGTGATCTTGTTGGCCTTGCCCGTGCTCTTGTCCATGGCGGTGACGTTCAGGATGCCGTTGGCGTCGATGTCGAAGGTCACCTCGATCTGGGGCACGCCCCTAGGTGCAGGAGGTATTCCAGTCAGGTCGAAGCGCCCCAGCAGGTTGTTGTCGCGCGTCATGGCCCTCTCGCCCTCGTACACCTGGATCAGCACCCCGGGCTGGTTGTCCGAGTAGGTGGTGAAGGTCTGCGTCTGCTTGGTGGGGATGGTGGAGTTGCGCTTGATGAGCGCCGTCATCACGCCGCCCGCTGTCTCCAGGCCCAGCGACAGCGGCGCCACGTCCAACAAAAGCAAATCTTGTACTTTTTCAGATTTGTCACCCATTAAAATAGCTGCCTGGACTGCAGCTCCGTAGGCCACCGCCTCATCGGGATTGATACTTTTGTTGAGATCTCGTCCATTAAAGTAGTCTTGAAGTAGCTTCTGCACCTTGGGGATGCGCGTCGAGCCGCCCACGAGAACAATGTCATGGATTTTAGCCTTGTCCATCTTGGCGTCCCGAAGAGACTTCTCCACAGGCTCCAGGGTGCCTCTAAAGAGATCTGCGCACAACTCTTCAAACCGTGCTCTGGTGATGGACGTGTAGAAGTCAATGCCCTCGAACAGAGAGTCGATCTCCAGGTTGGCCTGCGTGCTGGACGACAGGGTCCTCTTGGCGCGCTCGCAGGCCGTGCGCAGCCGCCGCACGGCGCGCTTGTTCTGGCTAATGTCCTTCTTGTGCTTCCTCTTGAACTCCTCCACGAAGTGGCTCACCAGACGGTTGTCGAAGTCCTCCCCGCCTAGGTGCGTGTCGCCCGCTGTGGCCTTCACCTCGAAGATGCCATCGTCGATCGTCAGGATGGACACGTCGAACGTGCCGCCCCCCAGGTCGAAGATGAGCACATGCCGCTCTCCATGACTTCCTTTATCCAAGCCATAGGCAATAGCAGCGGCTGTGGGCTCGTTGATGATTCTCAGCACATTGAGTCCGGCGATCACTCCCGCATCCTTGGTGGCCTGCCGCTGCGAGTCGTTGAAATAGGCGGGCACCGTGATGACAGCATTGGTGACATTGTGGCCCAGGAAAGCCTCTGCAGTCTCCTTCATCTTGGTCAGCACCATCGACGAGATCTCCTCGGGGTAGAAGGCCTTCTTCTCCCCTTTGTAGGACACCAGCACCTTGGGCTTGCCCCCTTCGTTGATCACTTGAAATGGCCAAAGCTTCATGTCCGACTGCACCACAGGATCATTAAACTTCCTGCCTATCAGACGTTTGGCATCGAACACAGTGTTCTGCGGGTTCATGGCCACCTGGTTCTTGGCCGCGTCGCCGATGAGCCGCTCGGTGTCGGTGAAGGCCACGTAGCTGGGGGTCGTGCGGTTGCCCTGGTCGTTGGCAATGATCTCCACCTTGCCGTGCTGGAACACGCCCACGCACGAGTAGGTGGTGCCCAGGTCGATGCCTATGGCCATTCCTTTATTAGCAGCCATGGTTTTCCGAGGCCTGTGGAGAAATGAGATTTTATAATCCTATTTAGGGGAGTGATTTTTTTTTCTAATAAAACTTAATCTATTTATTGACTGATAACTTTTTCTTTCCTTTTTTTTAAAAAAAAGAAAGATTTATTTAGGGGGCTGGAGAGATGGCTCAGAGGTTGAGAGCATTGCCTGCTCTTCCAAAGGTCCTGAGTTCAATTCCCAGCAACCACATGGTGGCTCACAACCATCTGTAATGGGATCTGGTGCCCTCTTCTGGCCTGCAGGCATTCACACAGACAGAATATTGTATACATAATAAATAAATAAATATTTAAAAACAAAAAAAAAGATTTATTTATTTATTATGTATACAACATTCTGCCTCCAAGTATGCCCCCACACAAGAGGAGGGCGCCAGATCACATTACAGATGGTTGTGAGCAACCATGTGGTTTCTGGGAATTGAACTCAGGACCTCTGGAAGAGCAGTCAGTGCTCTTATCCTCTAAGCCATCTCTCCAGCCCGACTGGTAACTTTTTCAAGATTTATTTTTAACTGTGTGCGTGTGGGCATATGCACACGAATGCAAGTGCCTGTGTTAGTCAGAGTTGTGAACTGCCCAGTGTGAGCGGGCGCTAGGCACTGAATTCAGGTTGTATACAAGGACGGATGTGCTCTCAATGGCTGAGCCCTCCGTAGCCCTCAGTCAGTTTATTTTTTTAATGTTTAAAAATTATTTTGTGTATGAACATTTTGTCTTCATGTTTATGTACCCAAAGAGGCCAGGAGATGGCATCAGATCCCCTCAGACTGCAGTTACAGCCTCCATGTGGGTGCTGGGTACTGAACCTGGATCTTCTGCAAGAGCAGTAAGTTCTCTTAACTGCTGAGCCAGCTCCCACTTCCATCATCAATCAGTCTTGTTAAAACCACAAGCACAGGGGGCTGGACAGAAAGAAACTCTACACAGAGAGCTTGTAAATGTTCTTGGTTTTGTGTTTGCTGCTGTTTTCGTGTGGGGTGTGTATACACGAACATGTGGATTCAAGGGGTCAACCCTGGGTATCATCTGCCAGTCACCTTGGCCTGAAACCCTGTCCAGTTAGGTTATGCTGGCTGGCCGGCAAGCCCTGTGAACCATCTCCCTTACCCTATGATCACAGGCGAAGGCCACCATTCTCCATTTGTTCTGTTATGTGGGTTCTGAGGATTGAACTCGGGTCCTCACGCTTATATGCCAAACACCTTCCCCACTGAGCTATCTCCTAACCTCTCAATAGGTTGTTTTGGGTTGTTATTTAATTTTTTATGGCAGTAGCCCAGGTTGGCCTGGAACTCACCATGTATCCCAGGCTAGCCTCAAACACGCAGCTATTCTCCCTCAGGTTCCCGAGTGCTGGGGTTACAGGC